AGTTAAGAAGCAGATCAGAGCAATTTCAACCATTATGAAATTAGACGATAACACACATTTACTTTTGAAATACGCATATATGTTAGAACAAATTACCAGGTGTTTCATATTTCTCAGATATACAGTTTCATCTTGCTGGACGAAATTTCTAGCAATAGCGTTGTGCAATTTTTAAAGCTAAACAAAATGATTTTCCTGACTTGCTTACTGATGAGGTAGTGATGAAGAGAGTTACCAGTTGCTGGCCAGAAGCAGTGTGTTGATTTTGGACATTTTTCTGGATCCGGAGCGATGCGAATACGGAAGGCACTGGCGCAGCTCATCTAACGCATCATTCAGGTCATGCATTCTTTTGCGCTCCCTCGAATTGATGCTTATCCGAAGAACTGCCTGCTCCTAAACAAACATGGTCGAAATATTCATGAAAATTTGAGATATGCAAATTCTCGACAAATTTCAGTTAGGCAGAGCCTTGATAATGGGCGTGTGGCCCAGCTGCACTCTGGCGCGAAGATGTATTTTGACAAAAAGTGAGCTTTCATACTTGGGACCTTAGAATTGTGGAAAGGTGATACGGTATCAGGCACCCTAAAAAGTACTGCCTTGAGAAGCACTAATTCCAAAAATGGGCGTTTGCTGATTAAAAAAACACTGGCCTTCGACCATTACAGTAGTCGGCAATAAACTGCCGAACCATACATTTAATATCATTGTTACGATATGTCCTTATGATACTTAACTTTTCTGACCTTGGTGCTCCTCACTGAGCAGCTGTGCCCACCGACAGACAAATTCGAACATGGTTTTTTATAAACTTTTGCCCAAAGGAACCAAATTTTCAAATACTCTCAAGATCTGCGTTTCAAAATAGGTAAAAGACACACAGAAATGCATGCATATAAGCACCCATAACAACCAATATTGCTCGGGTCTTTGTGTTTGTGCACGAGTGTGTATGTGTGTGTTGCGTGTGTGTGGAATGCGTCTGTGTGTATGAATGTGTTTGTACGGGCGTGTGAGGAGACTAAAATTTTAATAATATCCAATCACAAAACATACGTTGGCTAGCTTCAATTAGTTTTCATACCCAGCTTTATTGTAATTATTACCAAAAGACTAATTCGACACTGTGATAATTTTCAAAAAGGAAACACTGGCCAAGAAGGAAACAGAAGGAAGCAAAAAATACGAAATTTAACTCTACACCTCACTGCCTGATTTTGCTAATAATGCCCTAAAACTTGTATGAATCTATAGCGTTTTAAGAATTCAGGCTTAAAATTCAACCAAAGTGGCAAATTAAAAAATTATTCCACTGGAAGGCTAAAAATTTTGCAAAAAAGAGCACAGTTGACCTAAAAAGGAGCTTTAAAACTTATTTGTGCTAGGCATGCAGGCTAGGGATCATACTTGTGACGGTTGCCAATTCAAAATGGAGCAAGTGAATATTTCAAATTTTCATTTCTCCAAAGTTTCATAAAAGATCACTAAGATGCATTTTATCCTTCTTTTCGTGTATTCTTCAAGCGCATCTGCTACCAGTTTTTGGGAATATCCCAGTACCACCAAAGACATAGGACGTCCATATCGACCGTTCGAGAGGAATTAGAATTCTTCAATTATGCATTCATAAGAATTACATCCACTGCTTGACCGAAATTTTGTTAAAATTCTTAACAAACAGTAAAAATAACTAATGCAGTTAAAGTGATCCTGTTTGGTTTGATTATAGCGCTATAATTTTTGACATTACAAAACATAACCAATTTACTATTCGATTCTTTACTGGACTCAAAAATGCCTAAAAACTGGCTAGTGTGCCTCAGCCTCTCGTAGAGCAGATGCGCTAGAAGGATACACAAAAAAAAAAAAGGATTAAATGCATCTTAGAGTGCTCCAGCCTCAAAATTTCAACTGTTTTGGCTAGTGGATTGAAAATGGGTGAGAAACATACGAAAAACAAAAATACGCACTCTTGCACAAGTATTATTAGGACTCTTTTATAGGCGTCTGCACACTTATCCAGATGTGACAAAAAAATCTGCGAAAAGTATCAAGGATTTCCCAGTGACCATCAGAACTGTTAGTGCATGAATTCGTTAGGTTTATTCAAACACTGCCACATTAGTGAAAGTCTCATCTTTCTCATCGAGCCTCGCCGCAACTACTTAAACCTTGGGCTAACACCATAGAAGCTCAAAATGAAACTATTGATAGTTGCGGTTAATACTCCTGAGATGAATTCACAGCCAAAAAGGAAAGAGCAGGCCCTTAGCATGCACATTTCATTTTTCCATGCTCATTTTATGACTAACTGAGTTAGTAAAACAAGAAAAAGACAAGACTGGTAGTTCGAACTGTAAATGATTTTGGAAAAGAATGAAGGCTTCGCTAATTAACTCGGTGATAAGTTAGAAACGAGGAATTCGAAATACTAATACTAAAGGTAAAAGTAAACTCGGAAAATTTATAATGGCCATAACACGTAGGCAATAATGTGGAGTAGCGGAACTACCTCAAAAAACTTCTCTAAGCAGCAAAAAGCCAGAATTATAGAAACAATGAATTAACAATAAGCATTAGTGAATAAAAAAAGCTATTATGCAAAGATAATTTAAAAGAAGTAGCTTTCAGAAATAGCTGTATCCGGCGTATTGAAGTATTCCAGCAACATCGTTAGTATTGAATCCTCGAACTGATGGCCTAAGCGGCCTTGCTATTATCAGTATTTTTAGGAAAAAATCTTTTTTCAACTTTTCGAAATGACTGAAGCTGCCCTTTCTTCTTTTTCCCGGTAATATTTATTTGGCCGAGACAGCTTCAGTTATTCTTCAGTTTTTTACCAAACGGTTTTTTAACAAATACTTTTTAACCCGGCGTGGTTCCCAAACACAGAGGTGTTTTTTCAAAAAAAAATGAGCGTTCAAAAACAACGATGTACCTCCTCATTTAGACCTTGCAGTTTGTTTGATTTCCCGGGATTGACTCTTTTCCGTCTCACATAAGGCTCGATTTCTTCCATACTCAGCAAACTGCTCTGAAAAATTACTTAGGTAAGACAGAGTTCAGCAGCTAGCTGGCATTTGTCTCTCACCCTCAACCTCGCTCATTCGCTTTTCAGAAAAAGAACCCGATAATTAGTTTCAATGGTAATGATAATTTTGCAACAATGAGCTATTTTTCCAGTGGGAAATGCATCTCAGGCACCCGGCAGCAAAGACGTTGCTTGCATTTGAAAATGCGCAACTTTCGACTAGGGCAAACCACATGATTTCCCTCTGTTAACTAAAATGCAACAGTTTTAGCATCTTAACGCTAAATATCATGGATCGAAACATTCCTTTTCAGCATTTTAACTCTAATTCCTGTTTTATACTGATTTGTAACTCTAATATTTTCCAATTGGAAGTAATTCCAACATTTTAATACAGTTGTACATTTATCTACTGACTTTTATACTTTCTGGACTAAATTTTTTTTTCCAGGGAATTCTGTTTTCCCTCCAAGAATTTTACGGATAATTTTTACATTTTATCACTTCGTTTCCCGCATTTTGCATCACCATGTGGTCAGTTCTCTCTTAGTGCAAATACCAGTATCAGTTTCAATTTTAGCCCGGTTCACTTTCAGAGGTATTCAATATTCTCAGCGATGCGGCCGGAAATTTGTGATTTTAGACATGACAGCAGAAAATGCCTGCGAGGTGTTGCAGGATTTATCTATAAAGGAAGGAAATTAAAGCTCTTAGGGTGGATTATAGCCGCAAAATTCCTCTTCATTTTCCCGCCCTAATTCACTCGCCCATTTC